CCATTGCTCGCTTAACCATATATGACCTAACAGGCAATTTCATACAAAATTTTAGTTGCAGCTCCTTTTTTAAAGAGGAAGAACCATTTGTCTCTGCTTTTAGAGGTGAGGGAGTTCTAGCAGGAACTCAACATTGTTGACCCAGTGCTTTTCCTTTTCTTTTAATTACCATGCCTTTACAATGCCAAGCACCATGGATTTAATTTCACATCCAAAGGCTTCACTCTTTTGCTGCAAATTATTCACAAGCACATAAACATATATACTGTGTAAGCATTACAAGAATATTTTGCATGAAGAAATTCTGCCAAAACAATACACATTTGTAATCTACATGAGGTAAACAGCCTTCACATGCTTTTCGTGTGTCCCACCTAACTCCCAGTGCACACATTTGTAATGAAATGATGAATACTTATGATCTTTATGTACAATGTATCTTCAGTGATTACAGTTGCAGAAGTGCATCACCCAATTTTGGTAAACTGCAAAAAAAACTCCATTTAAAAGCAATGTTTGGTGAAGGAAGCAACTTTGACAGAAGTAAATGACAGCACCATTGCAACTAACAACATCCACAAAGTAAGCCTCTTAACAGAGCCCAACACCTAAGACACACTGTCTGTAAAAGCACATACCCTATTAACTGAGCTTTGCATCCAGAGGATGAAGTGGGAACATGAAGTGACCCCCCAGGAGGACACTGCGTGCCATACTTCCACAATTTGGCTAAACATTGGCTGTTATGCAAGCACCACAATACAGAGGCAATATTTTTCAACTGAATACTCCATAGAAATCTTAAGTCCATCCCCTGACCCTTTGGTCGCTTCCTGTCCACCTTCTAATTTCTTTATGCATTGTTTCCCTTTCCTAACATTTTAAAATTCTGTTCATCTATCCTTTTACTGTTACTTGAGAACTGGCCTTCTCATTTATTGTTCCTTAAATAATTAAATAGTGTCCATTTGCTTTCCTGCTTCCAGGCCAGAGGAGCATCACATTTATGTATTGTCACTCACTTCCATCCTTTTCATTTTTTCTTATTAGCGTACCTTTATAGTACTATTTGGCAAGCAGAGGTTAACTTTTTTCTTCTTCACAAAGGATAAGTTAGCAGCTTTATGAAACTGCTATTAATGAAGTGCCAAATTAATTTCAAACACACACACCAGCTAGCTGAAAAGCAGAGGTAAACCTTAATCAAGCACATCAAGATCTGTAGTGGTAATTTTCATCTCTGTTTAAGTAAAAAGTCCAATTATCCAGATCAATGTATCTCTTAAAAGGCTTTTTACCAGTCCCATTTCCTCAAGAGGCATTTTTTATCTCCTTTCTGTCAGTGGAGCTGAGATACAAAAAGCCAAATTCAATTCCTCAAAAAGGCTTCTAGTCCCACTGAAGTCAACCAACACACCTTTTCTGAAGGCCCATGGCAGGGCCATGACAAATCCATGGCACAGCACAGAGCCAGAGGGCTATGGTACAGCCCAGATCACCTCAGCTTCAAGAGTCAAACTACTCAGATCAGCCACTACTTTCTCCCTCTTGTCATCTACTTCTCCGCTGTTTTGTGGGCATCAGGCCTTCTTCATCTGTTCCCATTTGTCTACCTCTCTTTTTTCCATCACTACAAAAGTTCATACCCTCCAGAGAAAGAAACACCATTTAAATTCAGCAACTGTTGCCTTTTCCTTGCTGATGGAAAACAGAACTCAGGAGCAGGGATGATCCTTATGGAAAGGACTTCCCCACGTCCATTGCAGAAGTCAGTCAGACATACTCCCATTTTTTAAAAAGATGTGCTTGGTGAAGGAACTCAGTGGAACATTTAAACATCCAGAGAGAGGAATAAAAGGTATTTTGTTGTTTGGCAACAGTAAGCATTGTGATTGCATTTCCAAGTTCAAACTAAGCGTGTAAAGCAAAGCCAGCCCTGGATACAGGTGCTGATGGGGATAAGCAGCGCAGGTCATCAGTGGCAATACAGACACAGGCACCAGTCACCCACAGAAACCCCCATGAAGCAGGATCATGCATCTTTAAGCATTGTGAACTAATGACATCCTCCTCCACAGTGAGTTCCACAGCAACTGTTTATCTAATGCTCTGATGAAGCTGTGAGTAAAACCAATACCACATCACACTCCTTTTCCCCCTGGGATGCACCCACAAGTCTGCTGTACATCCAGACTAACAAACCACGCCAGAATGATGGGAGCACAGAAACTACTTATGAAAAGAGCTGGACTGAAACTAGAAGCAGAGATTAAATTCACCAAAACATCTCTAAATTTGATGCTACTTCACCCACAGCACGCTGGATTTAAGAGTCGAAGATATACCTTGTTCATCCATGTATTCACAGGCTGTAATCCCTTTAAAAATACTTATTGAAGGTGCTGAGAAATTCCTAAATCCTTTCTGCTTGTACTTTCAGTAGACATACTGGCATTTGATTCATACCAGTACTGAAGTGTCCTATCAAAATTGCACTTTCTGGAGGTTACTTTTAGTAAATAAAATATCAGCTTAAAAATGCTTGGCCAAACAAGCCAAGGTAAATGCTACATATTCTATGAACTCAAGTAATTTATTCTTGGCTCAAAATAACATAATTTTGAAATAAGGTTTTGTTTAACATTATTATAAGTTTCTAAATTGCTTCACAAGAGTCTTCTCTAAGCTTATGAACAAAGCTTACTGAATGAGGCAAAATTAGGGGCATTATTTTGCTAGCCATAGAACACTAATTCAATTTGCATTCTCTAATGAGTGCTGATCCAAGGACCAGGCATGCAGATGACAACAAGGACAGTAGTTACATGCAAATCCTGTAAGTCATTACCAGTGCAGTATTCCACTCTGAGAGGAAGTACTTTCCTTAGTTCATCTTCTGATTAACTGAAGTGGCAACAAGATATATTTCTACCCATATTCCTTCTTGTTTAATTCATCCACTTCATTAAAAAGTTTAAAATCTTCCTGCCAGTGAGCCATGTATCCCTTGTGCTACTCACATAAATATTCCTAGTGAAGTGACAGGAAATATCCTTAAAAACAAGACTCAGAAGCACCTTATTATTTAACTGAGCATCTAAAGGTGCTTTTGAAATGAAGCAATACATTTTCTCTGGCTTTAGACACTTGAGTTAGCACTTCTGAATACAGCTGAATTTTATAAATTCCAGTTCTCTTGCTGGGAGGATATTTCTTGAGCTGGCATATCATGCACTTGCTCTGTTACTCTAGTTACTCTAATGCTGTTTCAGTGTGAGCGGGAAGAATTTTTTCTTCCTACCTCCCAAAAGATTTGAAATACAGATCCATAAAGCACATGGAAAAGACAAATCACACCTGTACCCTTAAGTCTTGCTATTCCATTTATATACAGCAAAGCTCTCATGGACTTTATTAGCTCAGGACTGGATCCAGAGCACAGACTTATATGCCTATTAAATGACACTTCTCTTTCAATTAATCTCACTTTTGAGGCACATTGATTCTTGATAGTTGCAGGTACAATCCTCATTCACTCAGGCCCTGATCTCCAAGAGACTCAGCAGCTTCAGCCTGCCCTAAGGCAACTGGAAACTACAATCACACAGGAGCTCATTTTGGCTGGACTGAAGTCAGCGCAAATTTTACAGCAAACCTCAGGGGATGGCAAGATCAGGGTTCAGTGACCCAGCCAGCAAGAGCTGAATAAATGCAAGAGATCCAGACTTAACCTCACATTCTTCTCTTGCCAAAGTCCAAATCATCTCATTTGTGCCAATGGGCACAACCCTACACGGTGCTGGAACTCTCTGACCATGGGCCAGATCCTGCTATCTTGAGCCATCAGAATATTACCTGTAGAAGTAATCCCACAGAAATCCAGGCAATCTGCACAAGTAAGGCCTGCTGCAATCACAGTTATAATTAATTCTGAGCAATTTTACTATTTAGAAACTAGACTAGAAAATTAGACTCTGAGCATAGCAAAGGTTTTGCAAATTTAGTTAATTCTACAGCTTCTTTTCTTTCCCTTTAAGCCAAACTAGGAGCTTATACTTTTAAATTAAATTACTAAGAATAATATCAATAGGTAAGCCATATGAACACTGTGGTGCTCTATATCAAAGCGCTCAAGCTACTGCTGTCAGTAGGGCGTGACACACACCTTCCAGTTTAAACCTACAAATTATTAGACAGGTTACCATAAGAAGAAATTTTTGACAGGTCTTTTCAACACTCAGAAAAGGCTACCCCAGTCAAAGTTTTAAGCTTGAGGAAGGGTTCTTTTCCTTTCCTTACCAAACCTGTAACATTTTCTCATGGCTATTATATTTTAGTTAATTCCAATAATCTCAAAAGCTTTAGCTTATTCTGTCATTTTCATATCTATGTAAGTAACTCTAGAATTACTTCTTTCAGGAGAACACTAAATGTTGTTTGCCCGGTTCTTGTTCTGATTCTTTAGGTGGTTGGTCTACTTATGCTTTTCAAGTTGTTCGGCTGTTTTCATTCTGTAATTACACCATTTCTGCTGTCTAGGACAATCAGAAAGATGGCACGATAACCTGCAGCCTCAATCACTTTTACATTTTCTAACCGATACTCTAAAATCTCCTAATTTTTGAAGGCAGAAGCAAAGACGGAAAGAAGAATTCTCGCTGGCACATCTGAGGCATTTTCCAAATTTTTGGCCAGGGAAATTCTGGACGCGTAGCTCGCCAGAAAGGCGAGAGAAGAGCCCGCGATTCCCACAGACACACAGTACCCAGTACCCGCTTGCTGCAAGAGATCACCACATTTCTGTGCGAGGTCGCGACCGTGCCCCGCTCGCAGCGCCGGGTGGCACGGAGCCCCCCGCGGCCGCCGGACCCCTGAACCCCCGTTCCTGTCCCGGGCCGGGGGCACCTCGCACCCCGTCACAGCCCCCCGGGGCAGCTCCGGCGCCACCCGCTACGGTTCCGCCCCGTGCCTCTGCGGGCGGCGGGGGCGTCGCAGCTCACCTGGGCGCAGCAGGCACCGCCGCTGTCCTGCAGCCCGGCTGCCGCCCGCCGCTGCCATTTGTTGCTCGCGTTCCGAGGGAGATGCCCTCTTCCCCCCTCCCCCCGCATCGCGGCCACCGCCGCCCGAACCGTAGCAACTGGTCCTGATAGGTCTCAAAAGTGGAAAAATCCTACGGCAACACACACGGCGTCTTCCCTCCCGTCCCCGCCTCCGCCGCCCCCTTTCCCCCGCAGCCCCGCTCGGCGCCCCGGCCGCCGCCCGGACGCTGAGCAGCGCGACCGACCTCCGGCAGCCCGCCCGCATACGGCCGGGCACGGCAGCGCCCGGGCGCCCCGGGCACACACACGGATGGGAGGGGCGCTTTATTTTCCACCCCTTTTTCTGATGTTGCTTCGGTACGGGATCCGGGGCCGCGGGTCTCAAATCCCTCGTTTGCTCCCAAACGAGAGGGTGTCAGCCCCCTTCCCAGAGCCTCCGCCTCTGGATTCCCTCCCCATCTCCCGCTGCCTCGGCGGAATCCCGACCCCGTCAGCCCCCAGGACTCACGGACACCGGAGGTTCGCCAGCACGGGCTGGGGGAGGGGGCAGCGCCGGTGGCCCTCGCCGATCGCTGCCGGGCAAGGTGGCACGGCACGGCGGTAGCCCCTCGGAGGCAGCAGCTCTGATCGCCTTCCCCCCGCTCCCTCCCCGTCGAGTTTCCTCCCGGCGCTGCCGCCCCCCACCCAGTGCATCCGAGGGGCGCCGCAACTCACATCGCGGCGCCTTCCCGCAAAACTTCTCGGCGTGTGGCCCCGGCGGCTCCGCTCCGCTCCGCTCGGCGCAACAGGCAGCGCTGCTCACCTGGCGCGGGGCCGCCGCGCCATGGGAGCGCCGGGCGGAGCCTCTTGACGCCCGCCCTGCTGCCTCCGCCGGGCGCCCGCCGGGAGGCTGTGCCTGCCGCGCCGCCCTCCCCTGCCCTGCGCTGCGGCTGCAGGCACGGAGGCAGGCGGGCAGGGAGGGAGGAGAGAGCGGGGCGGGGAGGGAGAGAAGGAGGAGACCTCCCTCTCGCTCCCACCGCGCAGCGGGGAAGTGCTGCCCGCGGGGGTGATGCTGCCCGTCCGCCGCCCGGGGCTGAGTGTGGGTCTCGCTCTCCAGCTTTAGGGGCAGGGCCGGGGCCGCCCGAGCCGGGCCAACGGAGAGAGATAGCCCGGCCTGTCGGGAGCATCGTGGGGTGCCCTCAGAGGGTGCTTCTGCTCCCCCCAGTGCCCACCAGTTCCCCAGCAAAATACGAATAAGGTTATTTGTTTTGCTCATCTGAGTGAACAGCTGTCATTGCCAATGTGTAATACTTGCTACGATGGGTGAACTTATGCTGTGCTCAGCCTCACCGACCTTTTGTGCTGATCCGGTTATTCACAGCCTGCTTCGGGTTTACCACCGTTCTTGCGAGGGTGACTTTATTCTCGAAGAGGTGCTTCTGTGAAATGTGCTGTGTTGCAGCAGTTGCATGGCCTGTCATAACGCAGACTTTAGGAAACATCACCATTGGTTGCCTCTCTCTCTCGAACATACTTTCTCCGTTAAGCATTTTCTACTCTGTCTCTGCAAAGTAAACTTTCTATTCATTTTGTGCAGCAAAGAATTTTGTTGCTTGTCTCTAGTTGAGTGCACCTGAGCAGATGGGTTTTAGAAAGATCCATCTTAACCGTTTTGCTTTAAGGTGAAAGCTGCCTAAGATGCTGCATAGAACAGAAAATGAATTGGCATTGATTTCCTCTGGATTGGTTTTTTTGCCTCTAACTGTACAAAACTGTTTTATCTCCATATCGGCCATTGTCAAAAAAGAAACTTCTAGGTTAGAAGGACCAGTGCTATGGACATAGAGAGGTGGTCTTTTGAGGGAAGGGCGGGACAAAAGAAATGCATTGCCAAATGTCAATTTTCATCATTAAACCTCAGTCCAGTGAGATTTTATCCAAGTAAATATTTACGTCTCTGAGTAATCTATCTGAATCATATCAGCAAGACAGTGCGGGACCAGCCTTTGTACTACAGCAAAACCCGCTGTTTTTTCTCCTAGGAATATTTGCAAATTGGTTCATGAACACTTATATGTATGCCTATCATTTTAAATTCTTATTAGTATAAGAGAAAACAACAAATACAAAAAGCAACTTGATAAAAATCACTTTCATTAGTTCCTTGCACAACCCTCGCACTGACTGACTCAAGCCAGCTTTGAAGACACAATGAGTTAAAAAATAAAAACCTAGTACATGAGCATGCATTTCTTTTTGTAGTGTGTTTGTGTCACAAAGCTGATGAAACTGACTGAAGCTATGACTGCATTAGCAACCCTGTATTATTTGCAATGGGAAACAATTTTCAGGCTTTGAAAGTTTTATTCCTTTAGCTGAAAGCAACTCAGATTCATTTTAAGGAAGTAGAAAAATATTACTCATTGTTGATAACCCAAACCCAAAATCTAATGTGCAGCATCCCTTTCTTCAAATACAGCCTGTGTTCATATTTTTACTCTTTGGTATATAGATATATGGCAGCTGGGTGTAGTACTCAGGATGGATGCACTTTGTTGCAATATACCACATTACTAGCATTGCAAACTTCCTTGTAATGATTTGTTGTTAAATATTTTTAATGAAAAAAAAACCCAGCAGATTTGCTTTTCATTTGGCTCAACACACTGCCCCCACACCATATTTTTTAATGAAAAAAAAAACCCAGCAGATTTGCTTTTCATTTGGCTCAATACACTGTCCCCACACCTCCCTCCCCCTGCCAAAAAAAAAAAAAAAAACACCATATTATATATAGTCCCCAGCAAGGCAGCCAGGGGGTAGATCAAAAAAAAAAAAAAAAACATCATATTATATATTTATAAAAATGCAGTCATTTCCCTTTAAAACTGAACCTCTAGTGGTACTTTGTGGAATGAACTGTTTGTATTGTTAAATATCACAACAATATAAGAGAAGACTGATCTTAGCACACATAACTTTACTTACTGCTTTGGCCATGATGTCATTCATCCTAATTATTTAAGTGCAATTGCCAAGAAAAACAGAACTTCACTATCAAAAGATAGAAATACTTTTTTGTTGTTGTTGAAATTGCACCTAATAAAATGGTTTTTGGCCAGCTGCACAAGTGTAGCTGGTTTGCAGGTTTGTATTCAAAGACTCACTCCTGAGAGCAGCTAAGCATCTACAACTTCAGTTGAAAAGTGGCTGTTTAGTTTATCTCTGAAAAGAAGAATAGAGTAATTTTTCTAGGGAAAATTACTGTAAAGGGATGCACAGCTACTTGCTGTTAAAAATGTCACAGATTTTTAAGGACTGAAATACTGCTGATGTCATGGTGGTTGTGTGCAGAAGAAAGACTATATTATCATTCTAGGTGAAAAAACCTTTGCTCCTTGAACAAACCCAGCAGCAGATTTGCTGACTGTCTTACAGGCATCGCCTGTCCATTTTACATCACTAGAAGTGAAAGGATTAGTCCTCTGTTAGGAAGGAGTGTAAGTTTAAAGGATAAGGAGAAGGTAATTTGGCTGCCCTCAGATAAGAAAGAAAATGTTAATATTTGCTGACTTCTACATGTAGTTAGGAAAATCAGGGAGCATTAAATAACAGGGGATACCAGATGGTTCTTCAGTTTCCCTCATAAAATAATTTTGATGAGTGTTTGTAAATATTTAAAGGCCTGGTAGTACTGATCTTTACACAAATTATTTTTTTTCTAACGCAAAAAACCCTACAAAATTCAGCAAGACTGTTTGTGAGTAAGGATTATTCATATAAACAAGACTTTACAGGATCAGATCCTTAAAAATGTATAAATATTAACAAAATATTTCAATGGCTAAATTAAAGAATCATCTGGTACCATCTATTCCCTTTATTTTCTGAGACATTAATAGCTTTTTACAAAATTAGCAAAGAATACCACTTCTTCCAGTGCTGAGATAAATTGAGTGACCTTCTTTTTATCCCTTGACTAATATTCCTTTCATTACAGGATCAATTCTTTTCATAGCCAACAGTACTATGAAATTAATATTCTAGATGTAGGTACATTAAAGAGCTAAATCTCACAACGTTTTTAACTCTAGTAGCACATGCTTAGGAGTTTAGAGGGAATATTCTGTTCATGGTCCAGAGTGTGATTTTTTTTTTTTTTTTTGTAGACAGCAATGCAAAGACATGTCAGGGGCACATTCTCCCTAGGATTACTCCATACTCCAAGGGAGGACATGGGCAGGGCCCAGAGCAGTAGTCTGTGTTGAGCCAGGAGAACAGCAAAAAAGCATGAAATTTTGCAATCTGGAAATACTAAAAGCAACACAAACCACAATGGTTACACTATAGCTGCATTCCTAAATTGTGTACCTGTTTCTGCTTTCTCTCTAGGCTTGATGGTACCAGCAGTCCTCATTCTCCTCTCAGCCCATGGGTACTGCTACTGCATGTATAGGTGATGAGCTTTTGCCCTGAGAAGATTAGTAATGAATCAAAGTCCTCTTTACAGAGAGCCAGTACAAATCCGTTGTGTCTCTTCATCTTTTTAAGCTCTGTGCTGGCAATGTGCAGACCATTTAAGCACAGCTGCTCTCACAAGGCTTTGAGGACTGGGCATTAAACACTCCCTTCAAGAAGCAGCAGTAGTTTCTGTTGTTCCTGTATTTGGCAAATTCCATCATTTGAAAGCTTTTGTTGTTCTTTTACTTAGTCCCTTTATAGGAAAGAGATGAAGTGACTTTTAGGAGAGAGCTTCTGTTTTAAATAACAGAAGATCCTAGACTGTCAGTAATTCATTATTTCTGAGAGAGAAACAGTCGTTGTAAATAAGCTCAACTAGTTCAGCTCATACTCCACCTAGCTCTGATTTAGAGAACAATATAAGTAGGGAAGTATATTTTTCTGCTACTTGCCTGACATCCATTAGTTGAAACTGATGCTTTGGTCTTCTCTCAAAATAGCATGTGTTTCCGGGATACTTAAATATTAGAAAAAGAATAAATCTATTTAATCCTGGTCAAAACAGGTTAGTGGCAGTTAGTTGTCAACACATACACTTGTGGAATGTTTGGTTATTTTGAAGATTTATATAAAAGATTACAGG